ATTTATTTTTTTTATAATAGTGGTCTTATACAGCATTTGTCTTCATGAAATTACTAACTTTGCCGAGCATAATGTCTTCCAAAATTTCCCATGGCAAGAGGTGTTTGACAGCTGCATCATTATTTTTTTTCAGGGATGCATAATATTCCATTATATGCATGTACAGAGTTTTTCCATTTCTCCACAGACAGGCATTTTGTTTGTTTCCATCTTTTTGCTATTGTGGATAGAGTAGTGCTGTGATAAACATGTGTGTGCATACATCTGTTTGTGTATTGTTCTCTATTTCTTTGGGGCATATACCAAGTAGAGAGCTTGCTGGGTTGTATTGTGTTTCTATTTGCATTTGTTTAAGGAATCAGCTTACTGTTGTCCATAGTTGCATCCAGGAACCCTGATGAAGCAGTTCTTCTCTGCCGTATAGGGTCTCTCTCAGGGTCAGCGTGATGGAAGCAGGTTTGGCTTCGGTTCAATGGCATCTGAGCATCTTTCCATATGCCTGTTCATCACCTGTGTAGCTCATTTGGTGAGGTGTCGTTTGAGATCCTTTGCCCTCTTTTTAAATGAGGTTTCTAAAAAATCTATTTATTGTTAAGTTTTAAGGATTTTTTCTGTATTGGACATGTGCTCTGCAGACAACTTTCTCCTAGTCAGTAGTCATGCACGTTTTTTGTTTTTGGTTGACACAGGGAGCAAAGTTCAAATAGGGAATAAAGTACCAACTCTGAGCATTTCACGCAAAATGGTCTCAAGGATCAGTTAGTTCCTTCTGCATCTCTGGGCAACCCGAAGACTTTTAACTCTGCAGCTTAAAGTCTAGTTGAGAAGAATTACAAAATAAAGGTGACTTTCATGTTTTATTGTCACAAACAATAAGAAAAATGTATTGCAATCCAGCACATAGACCTACGTAATTTAAATACTATTAAAAAACACTGAACCCTTATTATACTAAGAATTTCTAGAATGAAAGAAAGGTTGCATTCAGTCAGTTTTAGAACTCATGGTCAGGTCACAATCTACAGTTTGAAAGCACTGCTCTTGATGAGGCCAGGTGTTCACAGTCTCTTAGGGAGATCTTGAGGTGACTGGTGTTTAAGTTGCTGTGGATGCTGTGATGTAGGAAGAGGATGCCAGGCTCTGGTCATCTGGGCTTTTACTTTGTGCTGCTCTTCTCCCAGGAGGAGGAACACTTGGCAATGGGTCCCCACTCTTGAATCCCATTTTATAATTGGGCTAGGGTCATTCATGGACAGGTGGCCCCTGGGCAAACATTCCATTGAACAGTCTTCCACCAGATAGATACATGTTCACTCCTTGTGATCCCCATCTGTGTCATAGTATACACTCTACTAGTATACACTCTAAAAGGATTTTCAAGGGCTGTTTTTTCCCCCCCAGAAATAGGTTACCAGTCCTTTCTTATGATGTTCCCCTGGGTGGACTCAAGTACTGACTTTGTGTAGCAATCCCAGTGTGCTAACACCCAGGAACTCCAGAGCTTCCAGAGGGAGACTGCGAAATTGACTGGCACTTGAAGATCTTCATCCAAGTAAATGAAAATCACACTGAGAAGAACTCCCATGCACGTGCCATGTCAGATGGTGGGGAGGTCTACTTCAGCTGCTGCATCTGTGGGCTTGGATTTGTGTTTTCTTGAGTGGCGACTGGAGTTTTTCATAAGCTCTTAAAATTGGATCAACAAATGAAGGTCCATCTTCCACTTCAAAAAGCCTCTGTGACTTTTTATGTTGCGGTGCCAAGTTTCCATTTTAACTAATTGTACTTTGAGGACAAAGATTAATAAATCAAATAAGGGCTCAGAAAGAAGTTCTTGCCAAATTCCCAAACAATAGGTATTGTCGAACTCCAGTGTTGAACCTCTAGTTGAGTTCTTTGAAAATACCAAGTGTAGATGTCTGTTCTTCACTGATACTGTGACTGTGTTAGGTGGCTTCTGTTGGGAAACATTTTTATTTTCATGACAAAGCCCCAAAAGTCTATCAAAGGAAATGGCTTGAGGGGAGAACAAAGCCATGCTTATTCATTGAATGGTTGTTTTTCGCATTATGGTCAGGGTGGGTATGGGCAAGACAAAATCATGACAGAGCTTGGAAATCTAGTTCATTTGGTTAAGAGACATACTTTTCTAAGCTGGCCAAAGTTTTTAACTGCCAGTGGGAACAAGATTTTTCAGCAGTTTGAGAGGGTTAGTCTGTAAGTGGCCTTTGTCTAATTCATTACAAAACCATCATTTAAAAGGGATCAGAAGAAGAGAGGACTGGAGTTATCATGGATTTGTTCTGTGGGGAAATTATACCTCAATACCAGCAAAAAAATACGTATGCAGGCTATTTGTTATTGAATTTTCAGTCTATTATGGAATCTCCATACATTGAGAGATCTGAGTCTGTTCCCACTTGGTGTCCTTTCAATGCAAGGTGTAGAGTTAGGTCTCCGAACTGCTTGTCAACTTGTACAAGAGAAGTACAGAAAAAGCAAGTTTAATAAAATGAACAGAAATTTGGCCTTGCTAGCTTGGTTGCTAAGGAGTTCTTGTGGTGCTGTGGGTTAGGCGAGGGGCTGCTAACAGCAAGGTCAGCTGTTCAAACCCACCAGTTGCTCCTTGAAGGAGCACAGTGAGGCTTCTGCTCCCATAAAGACACCCAGAAACCCTACATTATGGCAACTGTGAATCACAATCGACTTGCTGGCACTAGGATTTTGGTTAGCCTGGTTACTAACAGAAAGATTGGTGGGTTAAACCCATCAGCTGCTCAGTGGGGAAAAACACACCCAAACCCATTGCCATCCAGTAGACTGTGTCTCATAGCAACCCCATAGCAGCAGCAGGTAGAAGCCACCTGTTACAACTTTCTCCTTGAGTGGGACTGATGTATTTGAACCTCCGACCCTTAGGTTAGCAGCGGGGCACTTAAGCACTGCACTACCAGGGCGGCTTCCCTAAAGACTCCAGTCTTGGAAGCCCTGTGGGCAGTCCTCTGTCCTACTGGGTCACTATGAGTAGAAATCTACTTGACTACATATAGCAACAACATAACCTTTTTGCCAAAGGGTCTGCCTACCAAGGATTGGAAAAAAACAAAACAAAACAACAAAAAAACCCAACGTGGTCAATGTTACCCCTTAAAAAATTTAGGCAGCACAGCCACAGTGCCCAACTCGCTAACAATTCAGAATGGATTGCTATTACATCATCTTCCGGACGAGGCCTGCTGAGAGCCAGCGTTAATGCTGTGAGTATTGTCCGCTCTGTGCTAAGCACTAGGCTGGGGTGCCTGGTGATCTAAGGAGGAAAAGGCGCCCAAATAAAAGATAATTTAGAGACACATTTGCTGAGTCTTAACCAGGACAACGACAAATCATCCAGCTGAGGCAACCCTTGGTGTGATGCCAGAATGGTGTCGTAGGAGGCATAGAGACAGGGCCACTCCAAAAGGACTCGGAGCCCAAAGGGGACCGCCGTGAAGATCAGCAGCAGATCCGGCCATCACAGTTGCAGGGGGGACTATAGAATTGGGGAAAAACAAAACAAAACCCTCGATTGGGATAAACACCCTATTACAGATAGAAAACTAGCAGAGTGGGTCTAAGGCCCTTGGACCCATGACTGGTCGAATCCAGTGCCTAAGTTTCCGAAAGGGGCAAAGCTAGGCAAGCCCCCAGGGGGCTAGGCTGCACCCCGCTGGTCTGTCTGGGGCGGGGGAAGGGTAGGAATCCACATTTAAACACGCTGTCTGATGGCAAAGTTATTCACATTGCCCATTAATGGTCAGAAAGAACTGAATCTGTGGAGACTCAACAATGGATTTAGGGTTCTGATTGTAACCTGCAGTTTTCTGCCAACCTGGCGCTCAAAATGTAATCTCTAATGCACTAGGAAAAGGAAATGACAGTTATTTTTTCCCATAGAACTAACAACCAATTAAAAAGATTTCAGAAGGGCAAAGCAATTAAGTAACACCCAGAGGCAGTATTCTACTCAACCCCAACCACACTCCTCGACATTGTGTCAATTCTGATTCTTAGAGACCCCATAGGCTAGGGTAGAACTGCCCCCTTTGGTTTCTGAGACTTTAAATCCCCATAGGAGTAAACAGCCTCAGAAGATAGCCGGGGAGCAGCTAGTGGGATTGAACCATGGATCTGTGGTTAGCATCGCCATGTGTAGGCCACTTCACCATCTGGGCCACTGGAGCAGCATATAAATATTAAGGTGTCAGAATGAGTAAACATTTATGCGTTAAACGATGGATCAGGCAGGTGGGCGTTGACTGGTCTGGGAAAGATCATGGAGTTTGTGAGACTGACTTGGTCCCCAAAGATGAAGAGTTGAAGACTAAAAAATAAACCCAAAACATTCCAGTCTGGGGTGGGGTAGGGTGGGGTGAGATGGCTGAAACTTGGAACAAAGAAATGCTTACTCCAGCTTCTTCTAGGCAGTGTATAGCACTGGAGAGTCGTGAACATAAAAGGGTCAATAACTTTTCATAAGGTTGATAAGGACACTTTTATGAAAAGACTTGTTCAAGGATGTCTGAAGGCCAAATTGGAGGTTACTGAGCCGGCCGAATTGTAACCGTGTGACCTGGAACGGGCAGAAGCAGGAAGAATGGAGAGGGCCTGTGGTGCAGGCTCTTTTGAACCAGCATCGGTTCACTCCTCATGGTGCCTGCCGTCCTTTAAGTACCAGGAGCAGCAGGTCCTGGTGAAAGTCTGGTTAGCATTGGGGATACAGAACACTGGAGGGTAAAAAAAAAAGAGGTGTCATTTCTGGTTACGAGCTTTTAAACTCACCTGAGAGGCAAATGTCCGGATTACTACCGACCAGCCTTGTTGGGGATGGAAGCTGGTCTGGGAGTCAGCAGTGAGGATTGACACGTGTTTTCAGTTTATCATGTTAAGATCATTCTAGATGATTGCTGCTCCTGCCGCAGCCGACAGTAGGATCTGACACAGTTATTGTTCCTTCTCCTCAGGTGCGACGAAGACGCAGTCACTCTACATGAAGACCAGACTGATTTTTCCAGACTCAGGTACAACCCACTGTAAGGGTTTTTGGGACACGAAATGGAATTAAAAATCCAATTGGTAAAGTTTTAGAAGCAGGCTTTATTGAGAAGCTTGCGGGCGGGTTCAGCAACTCAGGTATTGAGCTAGTTTTTATATCTCCTGGTGGCAGGCACAGCTGCACACAGGGGCTTCAAAGGGAAGTGCTCATTAATCTTATCTATAGGTCTGGGATGGGTGGAATAAACACATCTTCAAGGAATGCAGGGAAGTGGTCGTTAATCTTATCTATAGGTACCGGGGCAGGTGAAGTAAACATATCTTCAAAGAACATTCTTTCTCGGGGCTGTCTGGTTCTCAGAACTGGTGATTTTCAGCGGGAGGGGAGGCCGATGTGAAGGAGGCCCATGAGAGGTGAGTTCTGAGAACCAAGAAGGTACTGGATTCAAAATGGAGTCCCTTGTGCCAAGACCAGGCACCCACCATTGCTTGCTTCTTGTTTATTAAGGACAGGAACTACCTGGATCTGGTGTCTTTAATCTCTCCTTGAATTTTATTTATTTATTCCAGTATGTCATTTTTTTCTACTAAATTTATCTATTATCAAGGGAGATTTTTGTCTTGTCTGTTTTTGGATTTCCCCCTTTGCACCCAGTATCTCGACCACTGCCATTGAGTTGATTCCGACTCATACTGATCCTATAGGACCGGGTTAGAACTATCTCTGTGAGTTTCTGAGACTCTAACTCCTGAGGAGTGGCTAGTGGTTTCGAACTATTAACCTCATGGTTATCCATGTAACACTATATATCACACCACCAGGCTCCTTTAGTATTCCAAATAGTGTTGGCCTAATAGATAATAAAGATATAATAAATAATATATATATATATATATATATATATAAAATACCTGTTGAATTGAAGTCCATTGAAATAATCACATAATAGTCCATAAGGGAGAAGTTCTGGATTTATTTACCAAACATGGTTTTGCATGTCTGGAATCTGGTCTTCATCTTGGTATGGTGGCAAAACCTTCATAGTTAACCAGTTCTTGATCATTTACTTCATACCAGGTACTTTCAGGCGTAGCCCATTAAGGGAAAAGATGCTGATGTTTCTCTCCTCATTCTGTAGACGGCGAAACTGAGGCACAGAGAATTAGAGGTCATCTATGATAAAACAGCCACTATGAGGCAGAATTTGGACTTACATCGATCTCTCTCATAATCCAGTTATTGGATAATAAACATTAACCCAAGCCTACTCTGTATGCCAGAAAACATTTTGAAAAAACATACCAATCCTTGGTCCCAGCATCCATATTACAGGAGGAGATAGGTAAGAATGTAGAAAAGGACCAGGCTGGGTAGTAAATGGTATTAAGTTAAAGGTAAAAAGAATTTTCCCAGAAGGACAAATAGCTCAGAGAGGCATCTGGGTTGGTTTTCTAAAGAAAACTACACATGGCTTTATTTATTTGTTTATTCATTCATGAGTATAAGGCCAAGAAAGGGTCCTTGGATGGTATAAACAGTTAACAGACTTGAATGCTAGCTGAAAGATTAGTGGGTTGAGTCTACCGGAGAGGAACCGTGGCAGAAAAAGGCTTGGAGATTTGCATCCGAAACCACACAGCCATTCTAAACTCTATAGAGCACAGTTCTACTCTGACCCCCCTGGAGTTACCACTTCTTCAGAGCTAACTTGATGGCAACTAGTAGGTAGGCAAATCCCCGTGAGGAATGAGGCCATCAGGCCCAGAGTATCGTATGGAGAAGCTACAGAGGGCAGAGAGCTGAAGCAATCGCTTCCGGATGGCAGGAACTCTGAGTTGGCTGGCTGGTAAGATGTGAAGCTGGAGCGAGAAACAGAAACCAAATTTCCCAGGGTTGATAAGCCCTGCTCAGTGGTCTGGAATGTAGCTTGGAGGACTGGGGAGGCTAGAAAAGATGCCTTAGTTTTTTTCTTTGCCAATAACCACCTGCCTGAAGCCCCACATGAAAGCAACAATAGCTATTGATTGGGTGATGGGTTGGGGCCGGCCTTCTGTGATAGGCTGTTCAGCGACAACGCGATCTCTGAAAGGCAGGTTTGCGGGCCCTTGGTGGGTGGACATGAGCGAGGGGAAGTGAAGAGGCCCAGGGCACACAGGGAGGGAGTGGGAGGCCTTCGTGGGCTCTTGCTCTTCTCCGAACCCCATGTTCCCTTCCAGTTATGGCCTCGGCAGGCCAGTCGTAGCAGACATTTCATAATCCTGTTCTCCTTTGGTAAGTATTCTGAGGAGCTAGCCATAGAACTGAAACTTATTTCTAAATGTGACTTTTAAATTCTGGTTTTATATTTGTGTAATAGGAGGACGTTGCTTTATTCCTCACTTTCTAATCTTCCAAGTGTAGAAGGTGAATAAGATAACACTTAGAAAGTTTGGGGCGCCTTGAAGACATGATATAAAAACAACCTCCAGGTACTATTTTAGGAAAGATGCCTATAAAAAGCATCTTAGATTTGAGAAATCACTTTTTTCCTTTTAATGTTCTAGAATCCTCCTTGAATGAGGACTATTCCGGCAACTGTTCAGGCAGTGGTTTTGTTTTGTTTTGTTTGCACAGGAAAATAGAGTGCATAGATGAATATTAATTGTTTGAAGTGAAAGATATGCACATCAAACAAAATAGTGTCATTTCCAATTCATGGTTTGATAGTGGTTTCTAAATTCATTAGTCAAATATATATAATATAAATATATAATATTACCTTTAAGGGAAAGAAAATCACCTACTCAAGTACCCACATGGTTTAGTTGTTTAAAATTTAGCCCTTGTATTTTTAATTTTAACCAGGTAGCAAGCATCCAATTAAAATAAACCCTAATAAACTTTAAAAAAAGTCATACTGTGAATTGGGTGAAGGTTGACAGAGCAGATCATCGGTTTGCATTCCACAATTCATAACGCATTTTGTTTCCACTTGTCCGCTGCAGCCCCTAAAATGGATCATCATTCCTTCTTCCTGTGTTTCTTGTTACCGTTCCCCCTTCATTCCTAACCCTCTGACCTTTTGTCCTTGGGTAAATGCTGCCATGTGATCTTAAGTGGTTGATTAGTCTATCATGTGGGTAGGTTCAGTTGCTGACCTGCCAGGTGAAGGGCGTCCCGCTTGCCTGCCTCTGACCAGTAAGCTTAGTCTAATCCTATTAACCTTTGAAAATTGAGGCAGTGGTAGTTCAGTGGTCGCATTTCCATCTTCCACCTGTGGAAGCCAATGCCTCTCATGTATAGCCACAGCCCATCTGTTGGTATGACATGTTGCTATGATGTTCAATGGGTTTTAAGACAGACTAAGAAGAAAGGCCGGGTACCTAATTCCAAAATATCAGCTGTGAAAACAAATCACAATAGTCAACAGAGTTGGGCCTGTGGTTGTAATGAGCTTAATGGCAGCTAACAATAATTACAACACTTTTCAATGGCTCTGAAAGTTATGGAGATTATTTAAATTTATAGAAATATATATTATATAAATTAATATAAATATCAAATCATTATACAAATAAATAGGAATGGTACTTAAATTAAATACACATGCCTTGAATCAAGATCAGGGGTAGGAGAGTTTGTCGACTGAGATGACAGCACTGGATCTGTGCCTTTATTAGAAACCTACTGTCTTGCCGTCACCTCCGACTCATAGCAAACCTACATCAGGTTTCCGAGACTAAATCTCTTAACGAGCAGACTGCCTTATTTTTCTCCCTCTTGGGTTTGAACTACTGACCTTGAGGCTAGCAACTCAATGCTAACCAGAGCTCAGCACCACCAGAGCTCAATCTTAAGATTTGAGAAGACAGTGTCTATCCTGGATATCTTACATTATCACTTGTGAGAGGGAAACCTGACACATGGGAAATGTATATAGTTGGTCATTAAAACCAGCTATACACAATTCTACAACTCTATCTACATAAATCTCCATTGGCAAAGACTGGAAGTAAATATGGAGGGGTATAAAGAAATGAGATTCACATGTCCTAGTCTCTTTTTCCTGTAAAATCTTCCATGTCTACACTAAAAATAGCCGCAGGTCCCCCATAGGTACAGCCACAATGGGTACCCCGGGCCTCCTTTTCCTGCAGTAGTTTATTCACCATGTGTGCGTGTGTGTGTTTTCTAAATGGGGACTTTCCTGCTTTAGAGATGAAGACAATAAGGAAAATTACCCCGACGCTGGGCCTCTCCTAGAAGAGCACCCGCCGCCCTCCCGAGAGCCTCAGCAGCATGTAGAGGCGAGCCTGCTGGTGGACGGCGTGCTGCGACCCAGCATGGGCAACTTTAAGTCCCGGAAGCCCAAGTCCATCTTCAAAGCCGACAGCGGGAGGAGCCACACAGAAAACCAGGTAGCGGCCTCTTGCTTTTTACACCTGAGCCAAGATGAGTGCTTCTCAGGCTGGGCCACAGTGCTGGCAGGGGGTCTGCGGGGGTTCTTTTGCAGGGAGGATTAAGGGCGTGCACACACACTGAAGACTGTGGGTGCTCTTGTTTCGTCGTCCAGTGCTCGGGACATGCTAATCATTCAGTTTCTTTAAAACGTGATGGAGGTCCCGGGAAGTGCACATGTCCTAGTGATGTCCCTCCGGTGGGTGGCACCCAGTGTGGTCACTCATGGTGTTGACCCTTCACCGCCATCTCCACATGTACCAGAAAATACCAAATCTTTAGTAAGGGTTACTATCAGTTTTTAATGATAAGGCAATATGTGATAAGTGCTATAAATTGCTGATATGTCATATTTCTTACATTATGTGAATTCTAGTCACAAAATTGTTTTGTAAAAGTGCTACATAGAACTACCATGCTGTTAGCTAGAACATTAATACTTTGGACATGTGATCAGGGGAGACCCGTCTCTGGTAAAGCAGTGAAGAAGAGGAAGACCGTTGACAAGGGATTTGACATTGACTTAGAGGAGAAGCTGTGTTCCTAGTGGGTGAGGGTGAAGGAGGAACCCTCGTTGCCTCTCTAACTCTACCCACTCACCCAAGGTGATAGTCTTGTCCCCAAATTGGGGTTCTGCTCTCTGACTTACCTGCAGCTGTGCTCTCCGGGTTGCAGGTTAGCAGCCTTGAGTAAACACTGAAGGGTGTGTAAGGAGGCCTCAACAATTTAGTGGAAACATTCCGTTACCTTTTCATTTATTTTTTCTACAAACTTTTTAAACCCTTTCGTTTGCTGTGCTTGTATGGACTGCACGAGCTGCTTCTCTGAGGTCAATAAGGATTTAAAGTTACATGAGTCAATGAAACAGCTTTTCAATTAAACTCTGATCATACATTTGCATGTATATACTTTCTTTTTGCTACTTCTATGGGGATAGAGCAAAGAAAGTGAATTTTTTCATCTTAAAAATAAAACAATCCTTCAGATAATTCATGTTTTTGAAAGGCCTTCTGAGTATAATCTACTTTAATCCTACTAGGAGGTTAATGTTCCCAGCACAGATTACACCTGTAATGCACCTGCCAGCACAGATTACACCTGTAATGCACCTGCCATGGTTCTCTAGCGTCACAGTTGCTCCACGAATATTAGATTTGCTTTTGGGTTAACCTTTAAATGTTAACCTGAAGAGTAACATGAACCTCTAAGAATAACAGATTAATCCTATAGTAAATTTAAGGCCAGCCCTGCTTAGCAAATGAACACCAGGTAAGCTTCCTTGAGAACAACATGGACTGGGCAATTTATCTGACCTTTTGATTTTATTGTGGGCTTTGCGCGTTGACTCCCGCCCTCACCCCCTTCCTTCCTTGGCCCAGGAGCCCTCGTGGCATAGTGGTTATGTGTTGGGGTCCCAACCACAGGGTCAGCAGTTTGGACCCACCAGCAGCTCTGTGGAAGAAAGGCTTGAGTTTCTACTCCCTTAAAGCGTTTAACATCCTCAGAAACCCACTGGGGCGGTCCTAACCTCTGTCCTGTACAGTCACTCTGTCAGACGGGACTCAACAGCAGTGTGTCAGTTTGGCTTTGGGTGCTGGGCATCGTGATCTCCTTATTTAGCCAGTTAGCTTTGCAGTGAGGGGAAAATGCCCTGGCATTTATGAAGATGTGTTATGATTATCTGAAGCTGAGTACCAAGCGCACAGCTGACAGAGGTGAGGGTGAACACCATTTGAGTTACGATGAGCTTGAGATCTCGCCTGTTACTGAATGTACCCCAGTCCATGTGTGGTCAGGAGCACCCTGCGTGGGGTGACAGCATCCGGAAGGACTCTCGCAGAGTTGGAGCTGTTCCAGGGAGGGCCTGACCTTGACTGTCTGGCAGGGCTCACCTGTACATTTCGGTCAGCCATCTCTCCTCCAAGTACACTCTTCCGTGGTCATCTTATAGTCTGATCTCATAGAAATTACACAGTAGTCTCTTTTACTCCAGTGTTAACATTGTGTGTCATTTCTATTCTGTTGTCCATACATGAGGACTGGACAGTGTTTTGCTTTGCTGTACATAGGGTTTCTTTGAGTCAAAACTACTGGGGGGTCCCTAATAACAAGAACAACCGACCTGACAGAAGACCAGGGGTCACGAAGCCAATGCAAGAATGACTTTGAAGAGGTTGAGCTATTTGGAATAAGGGGAATATTTATTTCAACCAGGATCAGGCTTTATAAAGCAAGAAGAACTTGAATAAGAATCAGTTTAGTGGCTGGTCTCACCCCCTACACACAAGGGCAAAACCCCAAACCACATTTTAGAGACATTTATATTAGAGTTCATTGTTGGGATGAATTTGAAGCTCAAACAAAGTGGTATAAGTGTGTGCTCATCAAAGTAGAATCCCATAAGTGTTTGCCATTGTGTGAAATGCCTCACTACATAATGCCTTATGTAGTACGATAACAAACAATCTTCCTAGGCCGGACAACCGATTCCAAGCATGAGTAATATGTTGCCGCACTTTAGAAAAAGTAAAAGAGTCCCTGTACTAATCACCCTGTAAATTAGCCTATCAATCCCTGACAACTTGATTTTGGGAGACTGGACTCGACTAACAGAGCTACGTCTCTGCATCCTACTTCCTGCTGACCCTGAAGGGGTTCATTTGCAATGGGAGATCTGTCTGCTCCGTTCTGCAGCTTGCCAGCTGGCACCTGTTATGCAGCCTGCTTCTGTCTTCCTCCCTGGTGGCTATGTTAGCAGACAACAAAAAGTAGGAGGTGGTACAGAGCGGTTTTCTGCAGGGTGCTGTGCACTGCCCTCCTACTGCCAATCCGCTTCCATGGGGAGCCCATCAGGCTGGTCGGGTGAACATCAGTGTCAGAGTTCTTCCATGGGGCTCCAGTGGATGTGCTGCTAACAGGCTGGACAGAGACCCAGGTCTGATTGTGAAATTTCCACGGAAATGAAAACCTCAAAGCACCTCCAGTCATGATGATAGCTTATTTACTAGGGTTGTATTGTAGAAGGCTGTATTTCTTCAGCTTTCCGCTTTGGACTCTGAATTAAAAGAAAGACTCTAGTTAATTCCGAGTCATTTTGTTCTTCTCTCTAAAAGGAACTAGGCGTCTGTTTCCAATTATAGCTCTACATTATGTACATTTCTGTTAATGTAATACTCAACGGATGAGCCACTCCCAATGAATAAAAGTAAGACAGTCGGATAGCTGATTGATTTTGAGATCAAATGCCCTCAGAAAGCTGAAATGCACCTCTCAGAGAATTTTGTTTGCTTTTCTGTGCGAGGAAGGTCTTTCCGCTTTGAATCTGCCTTTGGGGATTTGCATCTTGCAGCATGTAATGCGTCTGAATGCACCGTGATCGTAACAATTGGGCTTTGTTAGAACATGGTGTTGGCACCGCTCCTTGTGCCTGCTTTCTCAGACACATGACCTCGCCACTCGGGTACAGAGAGAGCTTGCTTCCAGTTCTGTTCCGGTGTGGATACTTTTGAAAGGAGTGTCAAACCTTGGCAAGAAAGCTGGTCCTCTGAGTTTGTATTTGAGTTCTAGCTTGCTCTTCCACGAGTCCAATGACATTTTTAGAAGGTCGGGACCTGAGGAAACGCAGGGCTCCTCAAAGTGAGGCCAACCAGTAGATGTTTGGGTTCATTTGTGTCTCATGGAGAATCTGATTCTGATTTCAAAACCAACGTGTTCTTAACTGATGGAGAAGCATGCCGCTAGAAAGGAACCTGGGATATCTGTGAAGTAATTCCAGTGCGTTTGAAATATAGCAGTAGGCTCAGCCTAAATACAGCAGTGCATATTTCTTAAAACTAAGTGAAATGATATGCTTGGGATTTAAATCTTAGAAAATTATTTTAGTTTAAATGACACTCGGATGGAGTTTATATTCAGAACAGCGTAGCAGGTTTGAGTCTTTTAAGTTCACAAGCAATGGAATGTTTGAACACTGGCCATTGTCATGCTTAGGGCCACACCATTTAATTGATATTTTACCTAAGCTAGAAGATACAGAAGAATTCTTTAAAACATTAACAATTAGTGGTTTGGGTTTGTTTGAGTGTGGCAATGCAGGGTAGCAAGGATCGAAACCACTATTTACATGTCCCTTGAATATTCAACAGATTGTGATAACTTCCCAACAGGATGAGTGTTAACATTCTCTTTTCTGCCTTTCCTCTGTGCATCTTTTGCCTAGAAAAAGTTCTTATTTAATGGATTTATGATTTCTCTCACTTAGTCCCAAAGACAGTTTTAATATATAACCATATAAATTCAGTTCACAGTCAAGACCTACCGACATATAGACAAAAGAGGAACATTCATGGAATACTGCTGTGTCCACTGGCACCTGATATTCTTCCATTGGGTTCTGTGGTAGGCCAGGTTGACTAGAGAAACAAATCCAGTGGCATGCGTATATGTGTAAGGAAGAACTTTATATCGAGAAGTAGTGATATATATATATATATATCAAGGAAACATCCCAGCCCAGTCCAAATCAAGTCCGTAGGTCTCATACTAGTCCATAAGTCCCTTTTTGGACTCATGTAGCCACATGCAATGGTGCAGGATGCAAGTTCCTAGGCCAGTGGGTGCAAAGTCATGTGGTGGTAACATCGCAGCAATCAGGGTTCACCAGCAGGAAGGTAAAGGGAGGTCCCCAAGTCCTCCTTCTGGGAAGGCCATGCCCACAAAGATACACCATCGGGCTGGGAGGTCCCAGCCAATGACAAATTGAATACCACTCCTACACTTTTGTATATCTCTTCTAGTTGACATGAAATTCTATAATGATCACAAGTTCTAAGACTTGTTAGGCAAGTCTTGCAAGGTGTGTCTAAACCGAATCACTTCTGAGTTATAAAGGAGAACATGAGGTGCAGAGGCTCCATACCGTTTCCTGGAAGTAGACAGCCAGGCCTTTCTTCCAAGACAC